TCTTTTCCTAAGCATCATCACAGCATACAAAATGTGATTTCCCATCCAGAATATACTGCATAGTGATTTAATCATGCATATTATTATAAAAAATTTTCCATTTCTAATTCCTAGAATTTTTTTTACCCCTCTTTCTGACCCTCTGTCCTTTCCTACCCTCTTCTCATACTATCTCTGATGTCTCCCACTTTCTCTCTTATCCTGCCTAGAAAGACCTGAGGTTTATTCTCTGCCATTTCTGAGCCTGTCCTTCCAGGTACAAGTCCCAGCTCATCTTGGTCTTTCTCCTTAGCCATAGCTGTCTATATTAAATACTTCAACATTTACTAGCAATCTACTTGCATCATGCTCTTGAGAGTTTTACATTTTAAAAGATTAAGTATGGACCGTACATTTAAATTGTAGATAATCTTCTTTAAAGACAGAGAATCAGGCCAGGTGGTGGCATGGTGGTTGGAGTGGCTGGATCCCACATGGTCAACTGTGAGGTTTGAGTCCTGGGCCTGATGGCTTGTATGTGAATATCCAAAATCCCAAGAGGAGAATGGAGAAGAAGGGATTGTAGTGTGGCCGTCACCCCTGGGGAGGGTGCTTTCTCACTTTCTCATGCTTTCTCTCTCTCTCTCTCTGTCTCTCTGGCAAACACACATGCCTGTAGCAAGCTTAAAAAAAGAGAGAAGAAAAAAAAAGAAAGGAAAAAAATAAATCTAAGTAATATTAGGAGATATTATTGAAAAATAAATATTTGATAATACTTGATTAATTATTCAAAATGTTGTGCATGAGACTTTCTACCTTTTTTCTGCATCCACATTTGTATTAAACAAAGTCTCAGCTATAAGCTGACTTAGGTCCACCTCATCTAGGAAGTCTTAGAGCTACTGGGAACTTTAAGGTCACTAGGTCGACCTTGCTGCCTTAGGCAGGTTCAATAAATGATTTAATTAACATTGCTAGACTTGGACAACAGAATGGTTTAGAGACAGCAAACACTAAGGCTAGTTGGATGATTCAGATAATTCAGAAGTCACATAAAATTGAAATCCTGGTTGTAATGTGACTCTGAACTAGCTTTCCCTGCCCTCCTTCCTGTGCAAGAGCATATAAGCAGGGAGCGATAGCGCTCGTGCTTGGTAACTGTCTTCCTGTATTTCCAGGATCTTTTCCCATTACTTTGTTCAACCTCCTCTTTCCTTTCTTACTTCTCTTTCTCCTAATTGTGTGATCTCAACGATCACCATGCCTCTTTGGCTCACTTTTTCTATTGATAGGAGGGGAAGTGAGTTAGATATCACATTCGTGTGATCAGTTCCTCTACATGGCCTTTATATGTGACCAGCCATGCACTTCGTTTTTCACATAGTTGCAGTACTACAGTGTGTGAAGCACAGAGATGATCCTGCCTCATGATGGTTTGACTGGGCTTTTCCAACCTTACAATGATGAGAAAGCAGTACCTACTTAACAGAAACCATACTTTGAATTTTGAATTTTAATTATTTCCCAGGCTAGCGATATACATAATACTGTATTCTCTCACAGTGCTGGACAGTGGCAGTGAGCCATAGCTCCCGGTCAGCCAGGTAGTCATGAGGGTAAACAATCGATACTCTACCATACACCCCCCCTGTGCTGCCAGTGGGGTTTTGTGGATATGATTTTTGCCCAAATGTTAATTACTCTAAGTGTTTGCAATACATTTAAGGTAGGCTAGGATCAGCTAAGACATTAAGTGGGCTAGGTGTGTTGAATGTATTCTCAAATTATGATGGGTTTATCTAGCTATAATCCCATTAAAAGTCAAGGAGCATATGTATAAAAAATTAATTTTCTATTTTTTTTAAGGTTATAGCTCAACAAGTGTCAGATAAGCACTTGGAAGAGGGCCGGCTTTATCCTCCTTTGAATACCATCAGAGATGTTTCTCTGAAAATTGCAGAAAAGGTAAAACCACTTGTTCAAACTTCATTATTCCATAACATCAATTATATATTTAAACTGGGATTTCTTAGCCTCAGCACTAAGGACAGTTTGGCTGGATGACTTCTCGTCTTGGGAGGTGTCTTGTGTATTCTATGATGTTTTGCAGCACTCCTGGCCTCTACCCACTACATGTCAGTAATATTTGCACAGTTGTGAAAAACAAAAATGCTTTCAGGCATTGCCAGATGTCCTCCTTGGAGGTTGAATTCTGCTAGTTGAAAATCACTAGTTTAAACTATTAGTAAATTTATCTAAACAATATAACTTAAGATTTGTGTATCATTTTTCTTTTTTTAAAAGGTTTTTTGCCGTAGAGCATGTGTGCTAGACAGAGAGATAGAGAGACGGAAGGTGAGAAATCACCACCCCCAAGGGGTATGGCCACGCCACCATCTCTTCTCCATTCTCCTCCTGGGATTTTGGGCATGCATGCGTAAGTGTCCCACATGATTGCCAGGTCTGGGACTCAAACCGTAGTCGGCCATGTGAGAGTCCAGTACCTTAACTGGCATGATCGTACTTGAATAAATCCCCACTATTCACTTTCCTCAGTTGATGGTATCATTTTACCATTTCACTACATGATTTTTAATCATATTTTCATTTTATGTTGTCCTTGTTTATGTGTGCTTTTATTATAAAACACTATGTTTTGCAACTAGGATATAAATTATAAATTAATTTTTAAGTGGGTATAAATTCTGTTCATAATCTCTACTCATTAAAATAATTACTATTTTTTAATTTCTAGATTGTGAAAGATGCATACCAAGAAAAGACAGCCACAGTTTATCCTGAACCGCAAAACAAAGAAGCATTTATTCGCTCTCAGATGTATAACACTGATTATGATCAGATTCTACCCGATTGTTATTCTTGGCCTGAAGAGGCTCAGAAAATGCAAACCAAAGTTGACCAATAGTATAATAGCCAGCATTTCTAACTCCTTTTATTTCTAACTCCTTGAAATCTTTCATAATTTTTAAAGGTTGGAATCTTTTGTAATGATTCATAATGTGCTTAGATTAAGTTAATTTTACCTTAATAGTCTAAAAATTTATGAAAAGATATTAATATAAATTAGGATAAACATTGTACTAGATAATTTTGCTTCATTAGCACTCTGGTTATTTATGATTTCTATCTTAACTATTCTGCCTAAGTCTTCTTTAAAAGCTGTTGTACCTATTACTGAGACACTCATCATTTTTATATAGGAAACTAATGGGAAGACCAAAATTAGTAATAAATTGATATGATAAACATTAAAACCCATAATTATTTTATTAACCATTTTGTTAAATTTTGATTTTTTTAAAAAAAATAAAGACAGAAATGAATTTAGGCATAGATGAACTTTTGCTAAATAGAAACAACACTACTTTGCTGCCTAGAGAAAAATAACTTCTCAGGTGTTTTTATTCCAGTCCTAGATTATATTTGTCTTTTTTTTGTGTATGTGTGCAACTGAATTCTAACCATTTTAAGAAAGATCACAGCTGTTTACAATGCCTTTTGCAGCCTTAGATTTTAACATTCTTTTGTCATTGTTACATCTTATAAAGCTCTTACCACTTGGGTCCTTAGACATCTTCCTGAGAACACCTTTACTTACTCCAGAACAAATGCCCTGTCCTTCATGGTGTTTGTGCAAGTGACCTCTGTCTGGAGGTTGTTAGCTTCAGTTCAGCACAGTTTGTGTGGTGAGAGAGGCTAGAACAAGAGTAGTTAAGATCTTTGAGAAAAGGCTGCCTGGGGACCCCACCTCTTAAGACAAAGATCTTGAGAGGAGCAAGTCCATTGTTCCCACATGAGCTGGGTCTCTATTTGAGTAACCTGCCCTAATGTTCCCTTGATTGGCTCAGGTAACTCAGCGCTCCCTGTGTTACAATAGCCTCACTTTCCCAAGTTTGGAAAGAGTTTTATAAATGTTTCTCCACTATCAGAAATTATCTTTATGTGAGATATTAAAATATTTTAATTGCCAAGAACATTCTATGAAAAGAGTATTTACATCTCTTGATTGCATTACTTTACTTTAGAAATTAATGATTGAACTAATAGAAATTATTTTCAATTCATAAGCTCAGGTGCAATAACATTTGCTATTTATTTGGAGAATCTTCTGTTTCTGAAGTAATGCTTTAAAGAGTATAAGAAGATGTTCAAGGTAAATTATATTACAGAATTATTTTGTTGAAAGTTGGAGGTTACAGAAATTGTTTTAGGTGTGAGTAAAAGGGGTTGGAATACTGCTGAAGGTAACATTTAGTAAAGAGTTTCCCCAATAAGTTATTTGGATAAGATTCAGAATGCCTATTTCTTGTCTGTTTCTATTTTGTCTTATAGCTCTAACTAAATATATTTACCTATGCAATAGTCTTATGAAAACATAGAAAAACTGAATGAATAAAATTATAAAATAATTGTCTTATTTTCTTAAAATATTACTTTTATAAAAAAAAATTCTTCAGTGAGTGAGACAGAGAGAGGGAGACAGAACCTCCAACAGGGTCTTGATTCTGCAATTCACCCCAGCCTCAACTTGCCTTAGCTCATGGACCAGCATGGCCCCATGTACTCAGAAAGGGCTCCCGACACAAACCCAGCACCTTCACATGTGGGTGAGCCTCACCAGGCATTATGTTCTACCTTTCACCACCTCATTATGTTTTAAAATGATAATTCTGGGTCTTGGTGGTCATAGACAGGACATCATGAATTTTAAAAATATGTTAAAAATTGTTAATTTCTGTATAAATATGCTAGATACTGTGATGAGGAGCATTTCCTTGTCTTCAGAGAAAAATAATGAAATAAGCATTAGTTACTAGTTATCAATTTCTATCTATATTATTTAATACCTGTGATTTTCTTATGAAGTTAATATCTATTTTTTTACATTCATGGAACATAGGTACATGTGTGAGTGAGAGAGAGAGAGAGAGAGAGACAAAGCTCTAAAGGGCTTGGTTACTCCATGACACCCATGCCCCCGTCTTCCAGCCCACCGAGATCCTAGGCATGCTTACATGTGCCTAGAGTCTTACTGGGCTGAGAACTGGAACCTGTAGTTAGCATGTGGCTTCCAGCTCCACATTCTGGAAAGCCACTGACTGTTCCACCAAGACTGGGCTGTAAGTTAATTTTTAAAGTAACTTTCCAAGTCCACAGAATTAACAGTGAAGGAGGTAGGCTCCAAATCTATGTTTGTCTTTTTTTACAGTTTGTTCTCCTTTCACTAAAATATAGTCTAAAATAGCACTACCCCATGTTTAATGTTATGCTTTCTAGTAGTTTCATAAGAAAAGATAATAAACAGAAAGGATTTATGTTAATAATACATTTTACTTAAACCAGTATATCCAAAATATTTTTATTCAAACATGTAATCAATATGTTATTAATGAGATATTTATATTATTTTGTTCATATTAAGTCTTCAAAATCCAGTACATATTTTACATTTACATTTACATTCAGTTCAGGCTAGCCACAAGTACCAAATAGCCACATCTGGCTAGTGACCACCATATTGGGTTGTGTAAGTCTAGAAGAGACAGTTACAGAACAACAGCTGTAATATGGTATTTCCAAGAGAAAAGTAAGCATAAGTCTACAGGAAATGTAAACCTATTTCACTTTATATGCATATACACCTAAATTTTTAAATGTCACCTAATCAAATACAGTTATGTATTAAAATATACATTATAATCCAATAGGGCTTATTTTGGAATGCAGGGAGTTCACTATCAGAAAATCTATCATTATAGTTCATACTTATATAGCAAAGGAGAAAAATTAGGTACTCACCTCTGTAGATGCAGGGAGAGCATTTGTAGTCAACATTCATGATTTTAAAAAAAATGAACAAAAACTCTTAGAAAACTAGGACTAGAAGGTAATTTCCTTAACTTGGTTATTGCACTCTAGAGAAATGTTTGATCCATTCCCTTTAAGATCTGCAATAAAACAAAGCTTCCTATTCATATTACTATTTAAAGTAAGCTAACTGGAAGCTGTAGACAAAATGATAGTAAAAAATGACAAGTGTAAGAATTAGGAGAGAAGAAATAATGCTTCTATTTTGCAGATAATATCTACATCACAACCAGTAGTAGTATAAACAGTAGTTTAAAGTTGGCCATATACAAAATCATCTTATAAAAGTCAGTAGCATTTCTCTGTATTTTCAATGATCAACTAGAAATTATAGGCAAAACTAAGTTTTAATTTGCAATAATACTGTGGGTTTTTTTTCTTTTTATAAAGAAAAAAAAATTATGTTAAAAGATGGGGCCAGCAGATGGCATGGTGGTTAAGGTGCTGTACTCCCATATGGCCAACCGCAGTTTGAGTCCCAGACCTGGCAGCTTGTTTTCTCACTTTCCTTCTCTCTCATTCTGTCTCTGGTGAGTGCACATGCCCTATATCAAAAATTTAAAAGTAATAATAATTAAAAATACAAAAGATGTTAATAAATGGAGAGACTATGTTCTTGATTTGAATGCCTTAATATTATTAAGTTGTTATTTTCTCCCCAGGAATAAGCCATAAATTCAATGCAATCTTATATAGGTCAGACTGGCTAAACTGTTAACTATAACTCAAAAATGTCAAGACTCACACAATAAAAGCATAATGTTTAGACATCATCTAATATAGTCATTTGGAAGGGAGGACCCTTACATTTCCCAATGCCATGGTCTTCATCATGTGGCCTCCAAAGCTACCAAAAGGACAGGAAAATATGGAGGATTATGCAGGGGACAAGTCATGGACAGATCATTTCTACTACACTGCTCTGGCTAAGACTCAGTCACATGACTCTATTGTACAGCCAGAAAGACCGAGATATTGTCTTTCTGGGGCCCCAGGACTACAAAAGGAAACATTTGGTGAACATATAACATTGTCTCTACTGCAGTTCCAATTTTTGGTTGAAGTTTCTAAGGAAGTTAATAAACATATTCTAAAATACATATGGAAAAATAGAGATCCCCTCCTGCAATACACACAAGATAAACCTTGCTATTTGAAACAAATTAAAGCTAAAACCCAGCCCTGATAAATAATCCAGTAAATATTTTCACAGGTAGAGAGGACACATTTTTACATAGAAAAAGTACGTCATGACTTTTCTGAAAACACAATAGCATAGCTCTTAATTAAAGTTCTCAACCTTTCATTCTAGTTCCATAAGAAAGGATATGGGGGCCAGCGGGTGGTGTGGTGGTTAAAGTAGCTGGACTCCCAGGGAACCAGCAGTTAGCGTAATGGCTATGTCGCTGGACTCCCACGTAGTCGACCGCGGTTCGCGTCCCGGACCCAGTGGCTTAAAACTTACGCCCGGCATGTATGCATGCGTGCCCAAGATCCCAAGAGGAGAATGGAGGAGAAGGGGTTGCGCCGTGACCATTCCCCCTGGGGGGTGATTTCTTGCTTTCTGTCTCTCTGTCTCTCTCTGTCTGACTGGCGAGTGCACACGCCCTATAGTCCTCTCAAAAAAAAAAAAAAAGTAGCTGGACTCCCCACATGGCTGACCATGGTTTGAGTCCTGGACCTGGCAGCTTGCTTTCTCACTTTCCTTCTCTCTCTGGTCCACTTCAGAAAAATAAAATAAAATAATGACAATTAATAAAACAAACAAATAATAAATAAAAGAGAGAATATGATGTGTCCTCTATCTGTGAAAATATTTACTCCAGTCTCTAGAGTTCTTTCTTTTAAAACTAATGTTCAGTATACAATCAAAAAGGAAAATGTGTGTGTGTATAAAACTTCTAATGGGGAGGAAAGAATAATCAATAGAAGTATTGGGTCATTGGAAAAGTCATGACCCATTTTTGTATAGAAAAACGTAGAAAAATATGGCATGATTTTCTGATGATCCAATAGATTGACAGGTCATCCACATGCATTATTACATAAGGGTTTTAAAATAACTGTTGAAAAATGTTAGACAAGAAGAAAAAAATGGAAAAGATGTATAACTTTATTGGGAAAATGGACTATCTAAAAATTAAATGTACAATCTAGATGCAAAAAGTAAAATATCAGAAATGAACTCATTGCATGGGCATAACAGCACACTGGAGGTAGTAGAAAAAAAGATTAAGGACCTCAAAGGAAGGTGACTAGGAATTATCCAAATTGAAACAGAGAGACAGGGAAAAAGAAAAAATGTTTTTAAATAAATAAGAGAGATGTCGCCTAAAATGAACTGGTTTAATATATGTGCTACTGGAGTGCTACAAGGAGAGAAAGTGAGACATTGGAATTTAATAACTCTCTAAAGAGATAATGATGATAATTTTTCAAGTTAATGAGAAACATCAACCAACTGACAGATTGAGAGCTACCAGTCCCTAAATAGTATCAATACAAAGAAAACTATATCTAGGAATATCTTAATCAAATTGCTGAAAACCAAAAATAAAGGGCAAATATTACAGAGCAATCAAAGAAAACAGACACATAATACCTTGAGAGCTACCTAAATAGTAGCTGACTTCTCAACAGAAAAAATAAGAGGGGAACCAGCAGTTAGCGTAATGGCTATGTCGCTGGACACCCACGTAGTCGACTGTGGTTTGCGTCCCGGACCCAGTGGCTTAAAACTCACGCCGGCCGCATGTGCGTGTGTGCCCAAGATCCTGAGAGGAGAATGGAGGAGAAGGGATTGCGGCGTGACCATCCCCTCTGGGGGGTGATTTCTCGCTTTCTGTCCCTCTGTCTCTCTCTGTCTGGTGAGCGCACAC